CTTTTGTTCACAGGGTCACTGAGAGTCACAGTTGACTCGATGGCACATAACAATAAAGACCACCTACATGAAGAAGTATGTTTGCTTCGGATTCCCCTCTCATGCCTCCTTAGTGTAGCGGGTTGAGCATTGTTGTCTGGGGATGTTGGCCTCAAGGTATCTTTTATGCCAGTGCCCCCGAACAAGTATAAGATTTAAGTGTAAGATGTAGCTCATCTAGAGATGAAGAGATCATAAACAGACATCTCCAAGTGAATAACAAAGTATTCTATTAATTCCAGAGGCAATCAAATGGCCTAGCATATTTTTAGACTAAAAAGGAGTTTTAGACATTATCAAGCCGAAACACCTTCAACTCATATTAGAACCCTTGGGGCTTGATATCTCAGAGCCTCAAATCCGAAATGAATCCTAATTACTCTAGGATTTAGATGATATAGATCAGTTAGGTTATTTTGTTTTTCAGAACTCATGTCTGTTTATCCATCAGGCACTCTTCAGAAGGAAACGTGAAATCCTCCAGTAAATTCTCGGTGTTTAAAACCAAGCAGAGCTGCTCTACTTGAAAGGGGTTCCTTCAGAGGACCCTCACATTCATGAAACAGTTTGAAAACCCCTTTAGGTGATGAAGAATAATTTAGTCCTTTGAATTGTGGTGCTGGAGAAGAGATTGAACATACCATGGACAACTAGGAGAACAAATTTTTATATTTCAATAGCTCCTACAAAATGGAAATCAGAGATATAAAAGAAAGTGGAAGTGGGCAATTTAAGATTCTCTACAAGAAACAAAAATAAATAATTGGTTGTCACTATTAGAAGTGCTGAATTTGAGCTAATATTTAAGACATCTGGATAATGCTGTCTCTGATAGGGAATCTAGGTGAATATTTGGGAATATTTGTACACAGAAAGATAGTTGTGATTAAGTCATCAACATCAGGCCCATAAATCCTACGAGCAATAAAATTGTTAAACAATTTTAGCCAAACATTTGTGTTCCCTGGAGGTAGATGATTCATCTCCAGGATTGCATAAATGACCAAAAATGATTTTGAAAGGCTACAGGTCAAGTTTGTGACTATAATTTGGATATTTTTTGTCTATCATATCCTTCTTCTTAGATCTTTCCATTTCTGAGGTCTTAGGTCAATGATGACCTTGTTTTCTGTTAGAAATATCTGCTTTTGGAAAATTGGAGACTCAGATGCCTTAGAGAATTGTTTGACCCACCAAGTTCAAATTCAATCTGTCTGCAATATAAATGACCATTGAATGAGATGAATACACAAACGTTGATTTAGGTCCTCGCTGGCAGCTATTGAACAAAAGATTGAAATTAAGAGATTGTTCATCTGTCTAAGAGGCTGTTGGTGCCATGGGGTCAACTCCCAGCGCAACCATTTAACCTCATTGGAATTAGTATTTTGGGAACAAGACGTCGTAGAATGTCTAAGAGAAAGTCTGCCTCTTTCCGGGGAGAATCTAAGTGGCCAGAACCGGTGGATGTGTTTCAGTAACATGGGCTGTGTGTTATCATTTTACAGAGATGCACACAGCCTTTTAACTCCAAGATCCTCCACTCAGCAAACCCATTTTGCTCTGACTCAGAGTTTCAGTTTAGACCTGGAGTTGTAAATAGCCTTTAAGTGTAGCCAGTGAGCTATAAGGACCATGTTTGTGCTTGTTGGTTTAGATACACAGCAGTCCTCTGTCCCACAGAATGCCTGGGACCATCCAGAAAAGGCTCAAACTGGGTTTTCCTTCATACGCCGACGTGGGGTGCTTGTCATCAGCGAACTAGTGAACCAAAGTGGCACTTTAGGGAGACATGAACAGTTTCCATCAGGCAGAGAACTCTAGATGTACAAGTGAGAAAAACTCTCCCAAATAGGTGCGACTGGTACAGTGTAAGTGCAGGGAAGCAGAGGCCTTGTGTTGTGGGCATCTGCTCTGTAGGTAGGTCTGCACACCACCCGTTCAGAGACTTCCTCATTGCTGCATTCCTGTGATCTCCTTGGGCTCATGACTGGGCACTCACTTCAAAAAGAACATATTTCTATCGTTTCAGATTTAAAAGAAACTTATTTTGAAAATGGAGATGTTTCCTCATGATGTCTCCTAAAGGTTCCTGGGTTGTTGATGCCACCTTGCCCACCATAGCCCACTACCACTGAGCACTCTTATGGAGCCCGGTGGCCTCCATAACCCTGCGGGAAGAGACAGAATGAGCCTCCAGAAATGCTTAGTTAGTTAGGGCTCTGCGAGGTCTTTTCAAACCTCTCAAAGCTTGCCTCGTTGTGCAGTTTCAAGGTTTTACTTCTGGCTTCCTCTGTTGTTGAAAGAAAACAATGTAAACCCAAGTGTTGCAGGAAATCTGTTGACATTGAATTCTCTGTCTCTTCACATGGTTTTGATGTTTCCTTTTTGAATTCTGACTTGACATTGCTTCATAAATTACACCTGCCCTTCTGTTTTGTTTCCTGCACTTCCTTTGAGAAGTTTGTCCCAGTTGTTCTGAGTCCGTACAGATTTCTGCAGCTTCTTGTTTGCTTTGTTTTCATGGGCTCTGTAGGGGGTAAGTATTCTGCAAGTTGAGTATGAAATCAAGCACACTCTTGCCATTAGGGTTACACATTGACTCTTCCAGGCAGAGAACTGAGAAAGTATTTACCTTTTGAACTCCTTCTGTATTAGCAGCAAGTAGATTTGTAGCTCTTTCAAAAGGATGAAGATTATAACCTTCATTCAGGGTAATGCTTGTTAGTGTTGCTGCTTTGATTTCTATTGAAGTTGACCCTCTCAGCCTCCTCTCCTAAACGGCCGTGAATCATCTCCTTCAGTGAAGGACTTGGCAGAGTTGTATTCTGCTCTTGCAAAATATGAAATTGCTTAGAGCTAGGATGTGGAGGAGGCAGCGGTCTCTGCTGGCTGCATGGCTGGCAGAATTTTCTTCTAATTGTGTTTATTACTGAGAGGGTGAGATATAGAGCTTGGCCTCGTCATCAGTGATTCCCTTTAGGATTAAATTACAGATTATGTGAGGGTTGACCACATGAAGATGCTGACCTGAAGGCAGCTAAGAAGCCTTAGTAAGCACAGAGATTAGCATCATCTGATTAAACGCTGAGATCAGTTATGGTGAGCGGGTCCGTGCTGGCTGGCATAGCCCTGTAGAAAGGCCCTGTGAGCAGACGTCAGTGGCCACTTCTTCATGATCTTCGAGGGCTTTCTCACCAGTTCATTTAACATTATGCTGTTGTTTTGTCGTTGTTTCACTGTTGTTGTTGTTGTTGTGCCATCAATTAGCCTGTGACTCATGGTGACCCTGTGCACAGTGGCTGTGAACCCTGCGCCATCCTAAGCCAGTCTAACTGACTCCAACACAGCTATGCCCACTACCTGAGTTACTGTGTCCATTCATGTCATCCGGGGTCTTCCTCTCCTGCACTGGCCTTCCACCCTTCGGAGCATGATGTCCTTCTGCAAGGACTCTTATGAAAACTTTTTATGGATTGTGAAATTGATATTGGCGTTTTCTCTATTGAGGTCAAGGAGAGAAAATGTTGCTTCAGTAAAAGCAAGAACAACAGCCTTGAGTAAGGAGAGTGATTAGGATCAGGGTTACGCACTTTCTAGGATTCTGCACAAGCCAGTTGATGAGACTGAGTATCCTAAGTTTGTAAAAACATAGGGTGAGTCAGATTCGGGGCTTTGGGACCTACTTCTTTGGATGACAGTCTATCAGGAAGAAATCGGGCACGAGTAGACAATTATAATCTCGAAGGTGCAATAGCCCTCACACCGCGGTCGGGTAAACTGCAGGAGTGATGTGTGTTCTCTCCTTACCAGGAGTCAGTTCCAACTCACAGCCGACCGCCCAGCAGGTTTCCATGGAGACTGGGCATCTTTCTGGGAGCAGCTGGTGGGTTAGCAGGGCACTCCACCGCTTCGCCACCAGAGCCCCCTGCAGGGTGCGTTGCTGCTGTTGGAGCCTGTCCACAGAGGGCCCGCCAGCGGGTTTTCCAAGCAGTTAGCAGTGTGGGAGGAGATGGCCCATCTTTCTCCTGTGGACAGACAGCATGGCTTCTGGTTGACAGTGTAGCTTCCTACCAGTAGGCAGCCAGAGGTGACTGAGTGACTCTAACAGATTTCCAGACGCAGTGGCTGCCAGTTTCTTTTTCTCTCAGTTCCAACTATAGGGTCTAGGGGCTGAGAGTATAGGACTTCTTTCCCCGTGAGGTCATTCAAGGTCAAAGGTCAGCAGATCACCATTTCTATCCTCAGCATGGTGTATCCTGAATCCATAGATGTTTCTATTGTTGTTGGTTTTCAATCCATGGGAAGTAGGTGAGAAGAATCCAGGTCAAGAACCTTTCCATAAGTAACCAGGAAATAGCTCTTGTGGTTTTGCACATGTGCCATTGAAATGAGTAAGTCACAGGGGACCTTTCGCTGCAAAGGAATCTGGGAAACAGCGTATGTGGCTGAGAATACATGGGATGAGCTACAAGTGGCAGCATTCTGTCCCTGAAAGTGAAAAAGGAAGTAATCGAGTGGGGGTGGCAGGTCATTTTCTCATATGAATGATGATAATTTTGTTTATGCTCCTTTTATTGTTTTTTTTAATTTTTTTATGATTAATTTTAATGAACGTTTACAGAGACTTTGGATTTCCATTCATTCATTGTTGCATTTTTCTCCCTGCCTAACCTCCCCCCGCCCCAAGTTCACTCTTCTCTTTGAAAAGTAAAAGAAAAATTCTTACTCTCCTTTTAATAATTGAAAAGCCGGCAGCACTATAGATGGCTGTGCCTGGAGGGACAGTGGAATCAGTAAGTCGCGTCTTATTTCTGGAAGAGCCTTGCAGAGCATCTGACCAGCTTGTCATTTATATACACCTGAACAAGGGGTCTTCGCCCCTTCACTGTGTCTGGGAAGATTACATGGAATAAACACTGAATGTAAGCTTTTTTCCTTTGCCTTTTGAACTATTGTAGCTCAACCAAATTGGGTTCAAAAAATAAATGATATCCACGTGGCCATTGAAGAAAACGTCTCCTGGGAATGCAGAGCAAATGGAAAACCCAAGCCTACGTACAGATGGCTGAAAAATGGGGAACCTCTGTTAACGCGGGTAAGCATAAAAAATGTGGTGCTGACTGTCGTGTTTAATGTGGCTTTATTGCTCTGAAACAGGAAAACGGTGATTTGCTGCAAAAATAATATGCAACCAAATACCTTTGAAAGTCAACAGGAAAAGTGACAGTGGATTCTGTTGATAAACAGGAAGTGTAAATTCCACCCTTCATTTAGTTTTCATTTTTAAAATTTTTTTTTTATTAATTTCAATGAAAATTTACAGAGACTTTGGATTTCCATTCATTCATTGTTACACCCAGTTAGTTTTTGGTGTCAGATCTTTGGTCTTTACAGGTGAGCATCAAAGTTACGTAGAACGTCTGTAAGGTGACGTAGAAGCATGTCATTTTGCTGAGTCACCAATCTGAGAGAGCTCAAGGCCAGAGTGAGTCACCAAGCAAATGCATGCTCCCTCCGCATCTGTCAGGAATCAGATGTCCCCGAGAAATGCACTGAAATTCTCTCACTTTTACAGTGAACCTGGGACTGAGCTCCTGTAATGCTAAAGAAGCACTTCAGTGCAATGTGTTCTTTAAAACAATCACTTTTCAAATACAAAAAGGGCAAATGAGGCATAGAAATAATTGCAGAAAAAAAGAAAATTATAGATATGCTATATAAAGTGCTATATGCATGTTTGAATAGTAATATAACATCTCTTTCCGCCTAACAAAATATATACAATTAGGAGTAGAGTTTTTCAGCTCACTGATTTCATGAAAAAGACAAAACAATACTTTCCATGGAGTGCTGAATTTGCACTTCCACACTTCTAAACTGTGAGGAGCTCTATTTCTGTGCATTTAAGCCACGTCTTTGGTCTTTCTGTCATAGCAATACTAAGCAATAAGACAGCCACCAAGTTCTCACCCTGGTGTGGCTTTACTATTTTCTTCTGTCCAGAGAGACTACAGACACTGTGATGCAGAAATCTCACCATCACAACCACCACTTGGCCTCCAGCATGTACTAATGACAGAGTCAAGTACAAGATTAATGTCTCTATGAAAGATAAGCAGAACAAAAACGAAAAGTGGTGAGTGAAGCCTGGGGCTGTAGGCCTGGGAGCTCAAGTGTAATGATGCCCCATGGAAACAGTAGACTGTCTTTGGAGCAAAGGTCAGGGCAAGACAGACGCTCTCCACCAACTGCCCTGAGATGAAGGGAGGAAGCTGACTGCAGCCTGGCCTAATAGGATGCTGTGGTCAGTGCAGAGAGGAGGCCGAAGGAGCCACAACTCTGGGGCAGGGACTGTAACAGTTCCCCTCTTACTGTTGGCCAAATCTCTGAGATGCTGTGTTTCCCACTGGGACCAGTAGCTCAGGAAGTTCCATGGAAGCAGTCACAGAGTTGCTAAAGAAGGGATGAGAGCAATGAAACGCAATGTTCTCTTTCAACATGAACCTGCAAACTAGTGTCTGACAGACGTGAAACTACGCAAAGAGCAGTTCAGCAAGAGAGCAGGAAGTGTGCTGGCGATGCTGAACCACTGGGGGCACTGTGATTAAACATGCAGCTACTAACTGAAAGGTTCGTAGTTCAAATCCACTAGCTGCTTCACCAAAGATGTGGCAGTCTGTTCCCACCAAGATCACATGCTTGGAAACCCCTCTGGCAGGGTCTGCTCAGCCCTGTGGGGTCCCTATGAGTCTGAATTGACTTACGAGCAGTGGACTTTAGGAGCTTCAAAGAGATCACCAAATGAATCATGTCCATAAAAAGAAATTGGACATTTCAGAAAGATAAACAAGACAGTTTTTTAAAGGACAAATTAGAAATGTTAGAAATATGGAACCATGGGGGGGGGAGTGGACTCAGTAGGTCATGAGGATTTTATGAATTTAGAAATGAATTAGTGAGTTTAGCAATTCTACTGTGGATGCCTTTTATAAAGCGGAAGTGCTAAGTTATCCTAATATTCACCACGTGTGTGGAAGGTGTGCCTCCTCAGCAAGTGTTAACCTGTGATAGCACTTCACATATGTTATGTCATCTGATGTTCACAAGAGACCTTCCGAAGGAGGTGGTAATTGTTATGCTCATTTTACAGACAAGCAAAACCAAGACTGAGCAGTTTACGTGAGACAGCATTGATAGGACCAGAGCCTGGATGTGAATATTATGTCTACTGGACTCAGAACAGTGGATATATAAGCAAATTCTCTAGGCAAAGAAGTGACTCAAAGGAAGATAACCTCAAATACTTCTGAGAATTTTACTTCCCTCTCTGTCCTAAACCTATTCCCAAAAAAGCTGACTTTCCCACAGAAATTCCAATCCAGGAGGAAGTCTGGGAAGCAGGACTGGGCAGAGGTAAATAGTGATGCAGTTTCAACAATGGCCTCCAGAGGTGCTATGGAGCTAACATGAGCCTTGGACTTTTCCAAAGTAAAGCCTGGGAACAGAGATTGTACCCTTACCCACAATTATATGCATGGACCTCACCGGACAGACTACGTAAGTTTGATATTGACTGAATATGTAGAAAGAGTTGAGGGAGATGCTCAATTTCAACAGTCAAAACAAGGCCTGGGACTGACTTGAGAACAGATCAGTTACTCATGTCAAGTTCAAATTGACTGAAGAAAAAACAAGTCAATAAAGTGAAAATTTGACCTTGAGTCTATCCCACCTGAATTTAAAAACTATTTCAGCAGTATATTTGATCTATTAAACACTAATAATCGAAGACCAGATGAAATGTAAGCCAACATAAAGGATATCATCCATGAAGAAAGCAAAAAAGACAAAAGACAGGGAAGGGAAAAAAAAAAACAAACAAAATACGTATCAGAAGAGGAAAAAAAAAATTATAGAAAGAACATGGAGAGATCAAAACAAGGGGGGAAGAATGCTGTCCTTAAAGAGGCAAACAGAAGATTTCAAAGGGCACCTCGAGTATAAAATTTTAATTACAATGAAATGTGAAAAGAGATGTTGCTGTTGTTGTTAAAAGCGGTCAAGTCATAGACAACTCATAGCGACCCTATGAATGAAAGACCTGAGCACTTGTATAACTTTTACCATTTCTCCAAGTTTAGAGGGTTTCCAGAGGCAAGCTGTTTCAGAAGAAAGATGGAGTTAGAAAATCAAAAAGGAAGAACATGCTTGGCATGTCTCAAGCTGAAAGACTTTAAAAACAAATTCAAGTTTCGAGTTGCAGTGCTGAATGATTCTATGGGCAAAATCTTTAATGGTGAAGGAATCATAAAAAAAAAAAGGAAGCAAATACAGAGTCACTGTATCAAAAACAACGAACCATATCCGGAAGTACCATATGATCAATTACCAATGGTAAGCAAGGCACTGAAGGCATTAGCAAAATATAAGACCCTGGAATTGTTGGAATAGCAATCAATGAATTGCAACAAACAGATACCACCTCATTCATCTATCCAAGAAATTTAGAAGAAAACTACCTAGCTGACTAACTAGGAGAGAGCCATGTTTGTTCCCATTCCCAAAAAAGGTAATCTAACAGAACCTGTTAACTATTAAGCAATATCGTTAGTATCACATGCAAGTAAAATCTTGCTGAAGAGTATTTAAAAAGAACTAGGACCACATGTTAACTAGGAGGTGCCTGAAATTTAAGCTGGATTCAGAAGAGGCCATGTAACTAGGCCGTGTCACTGCTAAGGTCAGGTGGGTATTGGCTGAAAGCAGAGGATACCAGGAAGCTGTTTATGTGTATTATTTTGCCTGTACAAAGGCATTTGACTGTGTGGATCATAGTAAACTATGGCTGACATTGAGAAGAATGGGAATCCCAGAACACTTGATTGTGCTTATCTAAAACCTATGTATAAATCAAGAAGCTATTCAGACAGAAAAAGGGAGCAGCACATCATTTAAAAGCAGGAAATGTGGGTGTTTCTCTATCTGTCCAGCCTATAACTAAACAAGTCACTTGAGAAGCTGAGCTTTAAAGAAAAGTATGGCATCATGATTGGAAGAAGACTCACCAACAACTTGTGTTATGCAGATGACACACCTTTTTGCTAAAAGTATAGAGGAATTGAAAGCAGAAGTTTAAAGACTACAGCCTTCAGTGTGGATTGCAGCTCAACATCAAGAAGGCAAAAATCCTCACCGCTGGACCAGTGGGCAACATTGCAAATGTGTGGTCTTGTTATGTACCATTGACTTGGAACCAACTCTAGTGGGTTTTCAAAGGCAGTAAATTACACGCGGAGGACAATGTCTTTTTCCTACAGAGTAGTAAGTGGCTTCAGAACACATGCCTTTGGGTTAACAATGCATCTCTCTAGCACCAAACATCCAAGGCTCCCTGATACTGTGATAGATGAAGATTAAAGCTGTCAACCATTCCATTTTACTAGGATCCACAATCAACACCATAGTAACAGCAGTCAGGAACTAAAAAGACATGTTGCATTGAGAAGGTCTGTTGTGAAGGAACTCTCAAAAGTGCTGAAGAGCAAGGATGTCAGTTTAAAGACTAAGGTACATCTGGTCCAATCCATAATCTTTTCCATGATGTCTTATGCATCTGAAAGTTAGACAGTGAATAAAGGTAACAGCAGAGAAATTGATGACTTTGAATTGTGGTGTTGGTGATGAATAGTGAATAGCCCATGAAAACAGACAAATCTATCTCAGAAGTCGAGACAGTCAGACCATCTCACATTCATTTGGCATGGGGCCAAGAGGGGCTATTCTTTGGAAAAGGATATCATGGTGGGAGAGATGGAGGGTCAGAGAAAAGGAGGAAGACCCTCAACAAGATGAAAGATCAATACAGTGACTTTAACAGTGGGCTCAAGCGTATCAGATTGTGTGTACGGTGCAGGGCTGGGCAGGGTTCAGAGCTGTTGATCACTATGAGTAGTAATCGGCTCGATGGCACGTAAACCACAACATTGATGGATCTCTGAAAGGGCTATAAGTGCAGGTGAAGCCTCATTCACTGGGGACTGTACTGCCTTCACCTCCTCTCATGGCCAGAGGTCCTCCTGGGCTCATGATTCTCACAGGAAGGAGAACTAAAGTGCTAGAGAGGACACACCAGGGAACCAGGGGACTGGCTCACCCCTCCATGTGCTTCCTGTGGAGGGATGCCTGGATCTGATCATGCCTAATTTGCTCCAAACTCAATAAAGTGTCCACCAGCTCAGTCAGGACTCTGTGGCTAATGGGAACCCAGTCCTTCTAAATGGCAGCTTTGCTGAAGGGAGGAGACCCTTCATGGTCTTTATGAAAATGAATAAGGCAGGTTACCTACCGCCCTCAGTCTGGGGGTGACAGTGGTCCCATCCTCGGGCTGGGAGGTGACAAAGGTCTTCATCAGTGCACCAACTTTGTTTTCCTCCTGTTGGCTCCCAGCAGATGGTCCCAAACTTAAATCATCACATTGACAGCAATAAAAGAAAGGAGCATTACATTATTAATACCACCTTTTTTTTAGTAAATCTCATCTGATATTAAATGCTTGTCTCTGCTTCCTCCAAAAACATTCCAACCCTATTAACCTTCAAAGTGTTGTCTGCACATAATTTGAGTATTTAAAATACTCTAAACAGTAAATTTGGTTGAATTTTTTTTTACCTAGTTAGCATAATGCCTTAGAGTTAAGAAAGCATTTTAAATTTCAAGTTCATCTATTTAGAAGGGATATTAATCTGAACGGTTCATGGTTAAATCAATGAGAACTCGAAAGAATCCTACAATTTAAATTCCATTTAGCAACTGATGTAGCGGTTGTTCCATTTAGCATCTGACCTGCCACAAATTTCACTGACTGATAAATAGATCATGTTATGTAAATTGCTTGTATGACAGCTATTTTCTTCCCATTAAAGCCCCCTTGATATAACATAGAGCCGAATTGCCTTAAGGTCTCAGTTGCAGAAGGTCAGTATTTTTGGATTCCTCTTCTGTTTCACAGGATAGAATTCAAATTGACCAAGGAACCCTGCACATTCCCGTTGTGGGCCTCTCGGACGTCGGCATGTATCAGTGCGTGGCGGAGAACAGACATGGAGCGATCTACTCCAGTGCAGAGCTTAACGTTGTGGGTAAGTGTACTCAAAAGCAAAGGAAACACACACACACACACACACACACACACACTCTTTAAATAATTGTGTAAGTGTGGCTTCATCTCACAGACTTTGGGCATGTTACTAGGAGGGGCTACTCCTTGGAGAAGGATATGATGTTCAGAAAGGTGCCAGGTCGGCGAAGGAGAGGAAGACCCTCAACCAGGTGGATTGACACAGTGGCTACTGCATTGGGCTCTGTGTGTCAGGAAGTGTGAGGATGGTGCAGAGTTCAGGTCTTTTGTTCATAGCATTGCTATGAGTCTTACTCGACTTAAAGTCACCTAACAATATGTGTGGCTTCCCAAGCATAAGTGCTCAATTCAACAAAACAGGTAGATTTCAGGCTGACGAGGTTGCTCTAGAAACAAACAACACTGTCCAGCTGTCGTCAGAAGCGACCCCTGTCTAAACAGCCTCCTTGGATGCTGCCGTTGGGGAGCACTGCCCTCCGCACTCATTTCCGTTCTATCAACCGCACTTCCAGATGGAGCAAAGTTTCTGAAATGCTGTCGAGTGTGCTGCTGTCATTCTGACCTGGTGCAGACCTCAGCTTGGATTGAAAGAGCTGACTCCGTCTGCAGAGGTTTGTTTGGAGAGCTGGCAAGAACCTTCCTGGTGCCTACAGCTTGCCCCGCCCCGTCCCTCCATGCTCCCCTGCCACCTGACCTTTCTGTGCGGCATCCCACATGCTCCTTCCACACTGCGCCCTCTGCCTGGACTGCATCCCTTCCCCTCCTTTATTCCAGGAGCTCTTTCCCACTCGCCCTTTCTCAGCTCCATTGTTGTTTCCGGGGGAAGCCACACCTCACCCCTGCCTGGGTCAACACCTCCTACTACATATGTTCATGCTTCCTTTCTCCTCTCCTTTTTAGCACCCACAGTTACCTTGTGTCTTTGTTTCTGAAATTGTCTTTTCCTTTCACTGTACTGTAGCTTTCCCATGGTGCCAAGGATCACATTTGATTTAAGTCTTCATATTATACCCAGCATTTAGTGCAACATTGAAACACATACTATGCACTCAGTAAATATTGTGTGAATGGGTGTGTGATGTGAATGAAGCAGAATGTGTCTTTAAATAGTCAATGAGTTAACTCCAGGAGTTAAAGGAGAAGTTGTATTAGTTGGTAAGTCTCTGGACTTTAAGAATATTTTAAAGCCCACCCCATCAACTTGGATGTGTACTACAAACTCATCCTAACTTTGACTTCACATTTTATTCTTGTGAGGAAAGTAATAGCTCTCACTCATTCACTCACCTTGCTCTTGAGTTCAAACTGACTCTTAACTGACCCTCCCTGGGGTTTCTGAGGCTGTTAATTTCAGAAGAGGAGCTTGCCCGTCCTGAGACCACTGGTCAGTTTGAGCTGTCTGAGAGATGCACCCTTTAGGTCAGCAGGGTGACACTGTGCGTGTACACAGCCAGCTAGGTCAAAAAGTATGATGTCACATGCTGTGCCAGGAGACTGACAGCAGTGTGATGAGGTCAGCGGTGTGACACCATTCACAACACGCCACCAGATGAGGTCAGCGGTGCGACAACATGCACGCTGCTCGGCCAGACGACCTTGTGATGATAACTCTGCTTATTGCCAGTGAGTCAGAACCTGTGCACAGCCAACCATCCCTGAGTTTTCAGAGGCTGCAAACTGCACGGAAGCAGACTTCCTACAGGGCGGCTTGAACTGCCTGCCTCAGTGTTGGCAGCTCAACTCCTTGCCCACTAGTCCACCAGAGCTCCCATATGATGATCAAAACAACTAACTCAGTCTCACAAGGATGAATATTGTATAAACCATGAGTGTTGAATGAGTGTAAGGATCCAGGAGGGGTGGGAGAGGCTGGAAGCAGAGGGATGACGGTGTACAGGGGGAGGGGGATTAATCATCGGCTTGTACAATTTGATGGCTGGGGGGGTGAGGGAAATAGAATTTGTTCGAATTTGTGTTCTAATTTTGTAAATAAACTAATAGAAAATGTAAAAAGAAAGAAAAAGACAACAAGAAAGTGTAAATGGTTCTAATACTGCCTCCTCCTTGAGAAGATGTATGCAGTGGTTCTCCTTGGTAGACGCATAGTGGAAGGAGTCTGGATAAGAGAAGAAATCTGTGCACAGGGAGCCATTCACCTAAACCCTGTTCACTACACAACTCAGAGTCCTCCCTTCAATCTTCCACGCCACCTGGAGAGTCCTCCCTCCCATTTACCACAAGTCCTCACTCCCATCTACCACGCTGCCTGGAGAGTCCTCCCTCCC